TGTTCTCTTGATGTTTCTCCTATTTTTTAATGGGGTTCAGAGACACATGGCCCAAAGATAAGCTCTCTTACTATTGTTCTCTTACGTTTAACATCCAACAGACTCACGTTCAGGTGGATAAAAGGACAATTTGTGGAGCTGAATAAAAGTATTAGGATATAAGTTATCCTTGATGTAAATGCAAGGAAAACACCCATGGAACAACCTCCAGTAGCAGCCAACACAATGGGTCTGAAGTGCATCTCGTCCTGTTTGCTTTTATTTGTTATTCTAGGTCTTTATATTTCAAAGGTTTTTCCTTCCGTGTAGACTGGAGATTGTTGCCTGGGTGGTACAGTGGATAGAGCACCAGGCCTGTAGTCGAGAAGACCCATCTTCCTGAGTTCAAATCTGGCTCCTGACACTATCTGTGTGACCTTTGTGTGGCAAATCACTTAACCCTGTTTGCCTCAATTTCCTCATCTGTAAAATGAGCTGGAGAAGGAAACGGCAAACCGCTCCAATATCTTTGCCAAGAAAAACACCAAGTGGGGGCAGCTAGGTGGCACCGTGGATACAGCACCGGCCCTGAAGTCAGGAGGACCTGAGTTCAAATCCAGCCTCAGACGAAACACATGACGCTTACTAGCTGTGTGACCCTGGGCAAGTCACTTAACCCTAATTGCCCCCCCCAAAAAAATGGAGCGACAAAGAGTCAGATGTGACTGAAATGAATCAATAACAAACAAAAAGACTGGAGGTTATGAATATTTAGGATAGAGACGTACGGAGATATGCTGGAACCAGTTCATAAAAGCTTAGAAAAACCGGTTATTACATTTTCAATGTGGGGGGCAGCTAGGTGGCACAGCGGATAGAGCACCGGCCCTGAAGTCAGCAGGACCTCAGTTCAAATCCGGGCTCAGACCAAACACTTGACACTTACTAGCTATGTGACCCTGGGCAAGTCACTTAACCCCAATTGCCTAAAAGCAAAAAAAATAAAAATAAAAACAAAACAAACAAACATTTTCAATGTGAGCACTGACACCTCTGAAATTGGCAAACGCTACAAATCAGGGCTCTATTCACTATTTTGTTGGTTGTTTAGACTTAAGAAAGTGATGAAGAAAATGCTAAGAATGCAGATGAAATTTAAAAGTGTGTTGCATGCATATTTTTCTTCCAGAGTACTTGTTGTTAAACATTTGCCAGCATGCCTCTGGTCAGATATACCTACGTTAAAAACAATGTTCTTAATTTTTTTATGGACCGGTGTTCTATAGAGGTGATTATAGGAAATATTTTGGCCTGTCAGGATGGTCTGAGGGGCAGCTAGGTGATGCAGTGGATAGAATTGTGGTTATTGGTCCTTCGTTCTCCAAGAGGACCATGACATCAGGAAGGTGGCGCCATGACTTTCACGTGAATTGGATTTAAGTGAGGGAGGGCAGTGCAAGGTCACCAGCCTCACTTTCTCCTCTGGAATCATCTGGGTCCAGTGGCCAGATATAGATCAAGACGTAGAGTACAACAGCCCTGCAGTGAGGAGGACCCGAGTTCAAATGTGACCTCAGATACTTACTAGCTGTGTGACCCCATGAAAGTCACTTAACTCAATTGCCTACAAAACAAAAAAAGATGGCCTGATTTCAGTACACTTTATTGGTTGAGTTTTCCAGGATATTTTGAGGCCAGTCAAGTCAAATTAACAAGCATTTATTAAATGCTTACACTGTGCTCAGCATCTGCAAAGAAGACCCAAAAACTAGTACCCCCCCCCAAAGAGGATACAAAGAAAGTCCCAAACCTAAAAACGTAATCAAATAGTCCCTGCCCTCAAGGAGCTTACACTCTAATGGGGGGAGACATCTATGGCCAGACAAGATATAGATGAGATAAATTGGAGAGAATCAACAAAGGGAAAGCACTAAGGCTGGGAAAGGCTGCTTGTAGAAGGTGGGACTTCAGCTGAGACTTTCATGGATGGGTGGCTCAGGGATTTGTCCTTGTCAGTCCATGAGAGATGGAGAGCTGCCCACTTCGAATTTCAGCCCCCAGGTCATGCTTGCAGGGTGTCCCATGGGCACTACCCTTTTACAGCCTGCTGTGATAGGTTGCCCAGTTCCCATCCTACGTAGTGGCCCTGATCCCTGAGTGCTTCAGACTCCTTGTGGTTTCTGGTAGCAATGACCTGGCCCTAAATTGCCATCATAAATCCCTCGGTTGCCACATTCAGACGTGCATGACTCATACATTTGTTCCATATTCCTTTGGTTATGATGATGATAATGATTCCCCTGTGAGGAAAGACCTCGGGATCCCTAGAGTGCTGACCTCACTCCTGGCCCTGGGCAATCCACCTAAGCAAAGGTCAATGCCTGGTGGCTCTGCCTTAATGATCATCTTGCAGCAGCAGCTGGCCAGCCTGCCTCTGTCTTTGTCCTGGCCCTAGACCTGTGGGCTCTTTAGCGGAGAGAGCTTCCTTTTGCTTCTTCATTTCTCTGTGGATTCCCCTCTCCTGGAAGCTGGCAGTGGGACCTGAGAAGATGACAATAGTCTAGAGGTCCGTTGCTGCCCCCAGATCCATGGCCCGATGCTGCTTCTCCATCTGCATGCAGCCTGTGCAGTCTCCCTTTCTTGGAAGCAGCTTCCCTCTTCCACATGCATCTGGGGAGTCATTCAGACGCACAAGGGGCTCGCCCAGTGCTTCTCGGTGTGCATCCCTACATGCTATTCCTTATCTTCTTCCAGAGTGGTTTGGCTGGGGATTTAAAGCCAAATGGAAATTTATAATCATCCCAGTGGGAAGCATGCCACCTACCTTCTGGCAGAGAGGTGAGGGACTCAAAATGGAGAATGAAACATGCATTTCTGAACGTGACCAATGTGGGAATTGTTTGTACATATTTTAAAATTAATTTTTAATTTTTATTCTGAACTTAACAAATACTAGATAGAATGGTACACACATATATACATACATACATATATACATACACATGTACACACATATATCATGTGGACATCAGAGGACTATATTTTTAATGACAGGCCTCCATTATGTACAACTTAAGTATACATATGTTTGTTTCCCTTTTTTTTTTAAATGGAGATAGGAGGGAGGAAAAAAAATGCTTGTTAATTTAAAAAATTACTTGCTATACAAACAACCAGAGAAAGGTCCTCCAGTAGAGAAAGTGGAAGAGACCCAAGAGGATGATTTAAGGGTAGGGAACCTGCAGCCTTGAGGCCACATGTGACCCTCTAGGTCCTCAAGTGTAGCCCTTTGACTGAATCCAAACTTGACAGAACAAATCCCCTTAATAAAAAGATTTGTTCTGTAAAACTTGGACTCAGTCAGAAGACCACACTCAAGGACCGCCAGCTACATGTAGCTCCGAGGCCAAAGGTTCCCCACTCCTGAGTAGGATCTGAAAACACAACCCCTTATAAGGGCTTTTCCCTACCTGTGGCTTTTTTTTTTTTTGGCTAGGCAATGGGGTTAAATGACTTGCCCAGGATCACACAGTAGCAAGTGTCTGAGGCTGGATTTGAACTCAGGTCCTCCTGAATCTGGGACCAGTGCTCTCTGTCCCCTGTGCCACCTAGCTGCCACCTACCTGTGTCTTTTTTATCTGATTTTATGATTTGTCTTGTGTATAATAATAATGGGTAATATTTATTCAACAATTTGAGGTTTGCAAAGCACTTTACAAATATGTTTCCTCATTTGATCCTCACAATTATACTGGGAGGTAGCTGCCATTATTATCCCCATTTTACAGATGAGGAAACTGAGGCAATAATTCCTACAAAGAGAGGCAGTCAATAAGCACTTATTAAGCACCATGGTCCAGACACTCTGCTAGGTGGTGGGGACACAAAGACAAAAATTAAATAGTCCCTGCCCTCAAGGAGCTTATATTCTAAGAAGCTGTGAGTAGCATAATGGAGAGAGGATGGATCTAGCATTTAATGCAGTGCCCAGTATATTAAAAAAAAAAACTCACATGCAACTGGGAAATATGATATATCGGAAATGAGATATAGAAAATTGAAGGGGAAAGGGATAAGAGAAAGGGAGGGGGAGATAGAAGGAAAGGCAGATTAGGAGAAGAGGTATTCAGAATGCATGCCATCTTGGGGTAGGGGGAAGGGAGAGATGGGGAGAAAATTTGGAGCTCAAAATCTTGTGGAAGTGAATGCTGAAAACTAAACATAAATTAATTCAAAAAACTCACAAAAATACTTATTTCATGAGCTTGTTATGAACATTAACTAAGATAATAATGGCTAACATTTATATAGAACTTGAAGGTTTGCAAAATGCTTTATGCATACTATCTCATTTGATTCGCAAGAGACCCCTGTGATGTTAAGTGCTGTTATCCCCATTTCATAGATGAGGAAGTTGAATCTGAGAGGATAAGTATCTTTCCCAAGGTCATCTAGCTCAGTAATTAGTAACTGTGGATTCCTGACTCTTAGGTACAAGACTTTATGCATTCTACTACCTAGCTCATGGAAAGCATTGTACAAGCCTTAGAGCCTTATATAATACCTGTTCTTGCTAACACTGTATCCAAATGCAAAGAAGTATGGTCTAGGCTTATCTCTCATCTATTTATCCCTTCTTTCAGCCTGCCCCCACCTTCCACTCCCCCCACTTAAACTCCATGAGGTCAGAGAATATGTCTTATTCAAACTTTGTTTTTTTTTGTTTTGGTTTTTTTCCCCCCACTGATCATGACACAGTAGGACTAAATCAGTATTTGTTGAATGAATGAATGATTTTCCATCAGCCGTGATACTGAATGTACTTATTGAAAAATCCAGTTATTTAGGGGCATTCTCTTGATTAGGTATCTAACTGCCATGCCTCCCAAGATTTCCTCCTTCCAGGGAGAAGAAATTCTCTGGGATGGTACTATGAACTTTATTCCCATTGCTAGACTTTTTTGGACACACACTTGGAGAATTCTTGACTTGCCAGGGGTAGCCGGTAGGCAGCATCCTACTGCCCTCTTGTGGACAGCGCAGGTCAGATGCAAGGCTCTGCTGACCCGCGCCTTGGAATCAGACAGAGCATGTGTCTCTTCCACAGCTGTGGTCTCCTCCAGTTTGTGTGTTGGTGGACGATTGCAGCTGGAGCCCTGAGGGCCAGGCCCATCGTGAACCCTGTTAAAGCTTCTGGCAAATGGCCCAACTCTTCACCTCCTACCCTAAATTTAGGACCATAACCCGGGCAAATGACAGACCATCAATCTATGTTAAATCAACCACACTGGAAAATTAAGCTCACTTTGACTGCAGACCTTGGGCTCTTTCAGCCAATTAATTTTCTAGCAGTCTGACATTTACGGCAGGTGGCTTGTCCAAGTGATTCATCTGTCTTCCAGTGCCCACTAGAGGACAGCAGTGCCCAGCACTCTGGATCTAATGGATATGGCCAGAAGGGAAGCAAGGTCTCTGCCTGTCTATAACGTACTAGTTTCTCAGAAAAAAAGATCAGAGGTGGCTGCCATCTGTGATAATAATTATAATGGACTCCTCTACACATGGATACAGAGCCACAACTAGGAATTTGTGTACCTAGCGGAAGCAAGGTAGTGCAGTGGATAGAGAACTAGTTTTTGTGAAGTCAGGAAGAGCTGAGTTCAAACTCAGCCTCAGCCACTTACTAACTCTGTGACCCTAGGCAAGTCACTTAAACTTTTTGCCTCAGGTTGTTGTGAAGATCAAATGAGACAGTATTTGCAAAGTGCTTAGCCCAGTGCCTAGTAAATAGCAGGTACTGTATCAATGTTAGCTGTTACTATTATTATTACTAATACCTGGAGAAAGGAATCAGTCAACATGCATTTATTAAGCATTTACTGTATGTCAGGCATCATGCTAAACACAAACTACAATTAGGACAAATTGCAAGTTGCTCTGTGTGTGTGTGTGTGTATGTATGCTGGGGATGGGGTGGGGTGTAGGATATGGCCTGAGGACAAGGAAACAGATAATACCTTCAGGGCATTGTTGGAGAGGCTGCTTTTTGTAATATTGTTGATGTACTCTAAATTTAGCATTCCAGCAAAACTTAAGTAGAAATGAGGGCCACTGATCCTCACGGAAGGATCCCTACAGGCTGCATATTGACTCAGTTTTACGGTGTGATGCTATCTGTGCTTTATTGCATTTTTAAAAGTTTGTGAACTATTTCCTAGCTACATTTTAGCCTGGTTGGGGTACACTCAGAAGTGTGGCGGGCCACACACGTTTCTGACACCTCTGCTCTAGACCAAACTGCCTAGTTACTGCTCCACTGGTGTGGTGCTCTGGACTTTTCTAAGCCTTTTTATCGGTGTTCCTTCATTTGATTTTCACCATAATTCTGGTGGCCAAGGAGGGTGGTGGTCATTGCATAGTAGAAAGAGCACTGGGTCTGGAGTCAGGAAGACCCGAGTTCAAATCCAGCCTCAGACATTTCCTAGTTGTGTGATCCCGGGCAAGTCACTTTGCCCTGTTTGCCTCAGTTTCCTCATCTGTAAAATGAGCTGGAGAAGGAAAGGGCAAATCACTCCAGTATCTTTGCCAGGCAAACCCCAAATGGGGTCACAAAGAGTTGGAAATGACTAAGCAACAAATCCCATTGCATAGATGAGCAAACATACACTGAGGTGCCTTGTTCGCAGATCTCAGAAATAGGTCTTACGAAAGCATTCAAGATTTTTTTTTCCCTATGAGATCAAGCCACCATACCTCTTCCTATGTTCAATCCCTCCTGCCCCTATAATCTGTCCCTTCAGGAATAGGCTCCCCCTGATTCTGTGATCCTTCTAAGGCAACAGTTTTGGGGAGAGGGGAGAAGGCTCATAGTCTAGTAGAAGGAACACTAAACTAGGAGTCAATAAGGTCTGGGTTCAAGTTTTGGATATCCTGTGTGACCTTGGACAGGTGTCTTCCCCTCTCAGGGTCTCAGTAACTCCCTCCATAAAATGGTGTAAATGACCTTCCCAGGATCTTTCCATCTTTAAATCTATGATCCTAAATCCTTTCCCCTTCTAACATTCTATGATTTTCAGGTAATTAGCTAATCCGATGTGCTCATAGAAGCGGCAGGAGGACTTCCAAGGGCCCTCCTTCCAAATTCCTAATCCTATATGTGCATCATTAAAAAAATGGCCTTTGGGAGACAAGAAATATTTATTTGGTCTTTCCATTGTATTACCTAGAGAGGCACCAGGTAGAGAGCCCAGCCTCAAGTTGGAAAAGACTAGAGTTCCAGTCAAAACCTCTGACTGTGTGACCCTGGGTTTGAGTCCAAACCTCTGACACGTACTGACTGTGTGACCCTAGGAAACGAAACCTCTCAGTGCTCCAGATAGCTCTGTAAGAATATGATAGAACTGGGGCAGCTAGGTGGCACAGTGGACAGAGCACCAGCCCTGGAGTCAGGAGGACCTGAGTTCAAATCTAGCCTCAGACACTTGACACTTACTAGCTGTGTGACCCTGGGAAAGTCACTTAATCCCAATTGCCTTAAAAAAATAAATAATAAATTAAAATGCTCCCTGCCCCCCTTTAGCTCTAGCCTGGAATTAGGGATCTTGGGTCCGTTAGGGAGAAGAGCCTACTATGCTAATCAGGCGGTATGGGGAGGGATCAAGGAGTGGTCAGCTCCTAAAGGAACACACAGTTTCTTTACCTTGGGCACAGACATCATTTACTACAGGAAACCCTTGGGGGAGGGACTTCTAAGGGGTGTGTTTTCGGTCTATATCTGAAACAAGATAGCCTTGGGAGCTGACGTCTGTAGCTTGACCTCTGGATTGTAATATGGTAACTGTGGGAACTGATACATGATACATCCTGCTGGTACAAGATAATCCTGCTCATACAAGGGAAATTCTACAGAGGTCAGCTTGTTCTTGTAACAGGGAGAGAGAGTTCACCTCACTGGGGCCACTCATGATTTACTGCTAAAGATTGGGTCTTTGGGCTGGGGAAAGATATGGTCCTAGGGCTGGGGTCTGAGCACCCTATCACCGTGATCCTTATTTCAAAGCAGATGGTAAGGAATCTTCTCCAATTCCATTTCTGCTCATGAAACCCCATCTGCTTCTGATGTTGAATGATTTGACTTTGGGGGTGAGGACTGTCTTTTCCGGGTGTCCAGTGGCTATAGCTACTGATGAGTTGGGGTCTGCAGCACCTGCAGAGAAAATTTCAAGAGACAGGTGGAGAGTCTCACTCCACAAGGTTTACTTCCCTGGGTGATGGACGGAGAGGCTGGGCTGAAAGCAGGGTGGGCGGCCTGGAAGACATTTTATATTCTTAGGCTTCTTGGGCTCAGAATTCTAGGCTGTCTCCATCAAACACTGTGTTGTAAGAAAAAAATGAATATCAAGAATTCAGAGAAGCATAGAAAGACTTACATGAACCAATGCAAAGAACCAGAAAAATGACATACACGATGAATAAAAAATAGAACAAATAAAAATTAAAACAAATTTTAAAAATTAAAAAAAAATTAAAACCAAATACTGTGAAATTATAATAACCAGTTTTGGCCCCAAAGAAGAGGTATAAGAAGTCTTCTCCCCATGCTCTTTTTGGAATTGAGGGTCTGTGGGTGAAAAGAGCTGCATATAATTTAAAAGGAAAAACAAAATAAATTGTTACATACACAGTCAGGTTTATAAAGATTTTATCAAGAATGTTTTGATATATATGTATTTTTTTGTTTTCCTGAGCTGTATGTTTTTCTCTTTTATTCTTTGTTATGAGGGATGACTCTCTGGGAGGGGTAAGGAGAAACATATTAGGAATTGTAGATGACATTAAAAACAAAAGCTATTTTCAACATTTATTTTAAAGAAAATCTTTTTTTTTAAAGTATATTTCCTTTTCTTGATATCAGGACTGTCCCAGAAAGTCTGAGGCATATGGACTTTATTTATTACATACTCCTTAGCTTGGCATTTAAAATACTTTGCAAATCTAGAGAGGCTAGAGCCAGACTGTGAGTCTTTGTTTTCTATCTAGATGGTAAGCCCCTTGAAGTCTGCGATTCTCATCTTGTACTTCTCTTGTTTTTCGTAAGAGCCCACCACCCTGGTAGCCTCATGGAAGCTGCTCAATATGCCATTGTTGGCTGGTTGATAAAGGAGAAGGGAAAGGTTGTATTGTAGATAAGTTAATCTGATTTTTTTTTTTGTAGAAATGGATCATGCACGATATTAGAGAAGAGGCACGTTTGTTAACTGATGGTTGAGCCCCCATCAAAGTCCAGTCCAATCCAACCAGTGCTTATTAAGCACCCTGCTACATTGCAGGCACTATGTAAAGCAACGGGAGTATGAGGATAATGCAAGAAAACAGTTCTTGCCCTCAAACACCTCCCATTCTACTACGGGAGATCCTTCATGTGAACGTGTAAGTCCATATGTGATAATTAGCCAACCGAGAGAATGCTCTCCATTAGGGAGATCAGGAAAGTCTTCTTGGAGATGGCTCGTGAACTCTACCTCGAAGGAAGCTAGGGATCATGAAATCATAGGATCAATAGACCAAGAGCTAGAAGGAAACTTATATGTCAGTCATCTAGTCCAATCCCTAATATCACAGAAGAGGCAATTGAGGCCCAGAGAGGTTCTAAGTAATTCACCCAGGGCTGCACAGGAAGTTGTTGGCAGAGCCCAGATTTGAACTTGGGTTCTTAATTCCAAATACAGGGCTCTTTCCATCAATGAAGAAGATAATAATAATAATAATGATAATAATAATTATCATTACTATTATAGCTCCCATTTACATAGCACTTTAAAGTTTACAAAGCACTTTACAAGCTTTACAAATATCTCCTTATTTGATCCTGACAACAACCCCAGAAGGTAGATGCTATTATTATCTGCATTTTACAGATGGGGAAATTGAGGTATTCATTCATTCAATAAACATTCATTAAGCGGCTACTATGTGCCAAGCTCTGTGCTAAATGCTGGAGATACAAAAAGAGACAAAAGACAGTAAATGCCTTCGAGGAGCTTACAGAAATTAAGTGACTTTGCTAATACATTGTTGGTAGAGTTGTGAAATGATCCAACCATTTTGGAGAACAATTTGGAACTATGCCCAAAGGGCTACAAAAATGTGTATACCCTTTGATCCAGCAATAGCACTTCTAGGGCTATATCCCAAAGAGATCAAACAAATGGGAAAAGGACCCGCATGTACAAAAATATTCATAGCAGCTCTTTCTGTGGTGCCAAAGAATTGGAAATTGAGAGGATGCCCATCAATTGGGGAATGGCTGAGCAAGTTGTGGTATATGAATGTAATGGAATACTATTGTGCTATAAGAAATGATGAACAGGCTGACTTCAGAAGAACCTGGAAAGACTTGTATGGTCTGATGCTGGGTGAAGTGAGCAGATCCAAGAGGACTTTGCACACAATAACAGCCACATTGTGCAATGACTAATATTGATAAACTGAACCCTTCTCAGCATTATGAGGATCTAAGACATCTCCAGAGGCCTCGGGATGGAAAATGTTGTCCACATCCAAAGAAAGAACTATGGAAGTCGAATCGTTCTCACTTATTTTTACCTTCTGTTGAGTTTCGTTTCATCTTTCTCATGGTTCTTCCTATTGGTTTTAATTTTTACTTACAACTTCACTAATATGAAAATATGTTTAATGGGTATGTAAATGTAAAGCCTATATCAGATTGAGCGCCGTCTTGGGGAAGGTGGGGGGGAGGAAAAGGGAGAAAAATTTTCAACTCAAAAGCATATGGAAAAAATTTTTTAAAAATTTAATTTAATTTAAAAATCAAAGTGAAAAAAAGAAAGAAATTAAGTGACTTTGCCCAAGGTCACCCAGCCAGTAAGCATCCAAGGTCGGATTTGAACTCAAGTTTTTGAGATTTCAAGGCCACGCGCCCCCTCCGCTGTACCAAGTGGCTGCACAGGTATACAAAGGTGAGAAACAGTAAGCCTAGAAAGGCAGGCTGGAGCCAGATTGTGAAGTGCTTTAAATGCCAAGCTGAGGAGTCTGTAGTTTATTCTGGAGTCATCAGGGA